ATCAAAAATTCCTGGATCCACTCCTGGTATTCAATTTAAGGTGGTCGACAATGCTGGGTTTTGTTCTTCAAAAACACACGAATGAAACTACTTGTAACGAATGCTAACATTCGCAACGTCAGTTTTAGAAATTCTTTAGTATGGCCAGTTCACATTTTCAACTCGGTTGACAAAGTCAAATTATCTATTTCGAATCAAGACAAATATTTTACAAGAAAATACTGGATATACAACAGCACTGCTTCATATACCATTCAAATCCATTAGGTGTTTATCGCTCTCTTGCAGACCAGCTGTAATCAAGATCTCAATGATATCAGGCCTTTGAATTTTCCTCAGCATGTCCACCAAGTGTCTGACGGTTATTGCTCTTTGAAACATTATCTCGAGCACTCCATTCATCATGCCACCAGCACCATAGTGGTCTAAACTTTGTACTGTCTGAAAGCTCAGAGACATCTCGGCCGCCATGGCTTTCCAATTGTTTCCGAGGACGCTAGGGTTGTTGAGCAGCATGACCAACTCGCTTAGAGCGGAACTTGGAATATCTTTTAGTAGTTGCTCTGAATCAGATAACGCCCACAACCAAAGTACAATTAAGGCAGAAACAAACTAACACAATAACAGAAACAATAGGACAAACTAAACAAAGGGAAAAAAAACAACAAGGGAATACCGTAATTCCTATAGAACAAGCGTCCTAAAGTCAAACAAGCGCCCTCCTCGAATAAGCGCCCCCTTTTGCCTCAATTTCTTGAATAGTAGGGATAGAAAGAAAACCTGTTTCCAGGCGCGTGGCGTGGTCATTTTTTCAAGTACGCATAAGTACATATGATCTACAAACCTAAGTAAACTGAGCGAAAAATACTGCGTTCTTTATTTCTTGTTCGAAATAGTTGTGTGAATACAAGCAAAGAACAAAACGTCTTGCCTTTATTTTGAGCAAACTTGGCGCAAACACAAAACTGTTTTCAAATTTTTCTGCTCACTTCAAGTACGCACGTGCGTATATGCGTCTAGGACGCTACGCGCCTGGTTTCTATTCCCACTTTATCCATAACTTTTCTAAGCTTCAACTGCAGTGGAATCAGAACAGGAGAATTACAAGCGCCCCCTCGATTTAGCACCCATCTTCCACTAACCGCACTCCCTTTTCGCCGAAATTCAAAATAAGCGTGCTAAATCGAAAAAATAGGGCCATCGTAGCTTGATAAGAAATAGCACACAAACTGCAGTTACAAACATGACAGTAAAACGCATGATGGAAAAAAGATTAGTAAACTGTACTTGACGTTTCGTATGTTTCGACATACATCTTCAGAAGTGACAGTTAATAATACACGTGGCGACTAAGTTTAAATTTAAGATAAGTAACTAATTAACAAAACAACGAACAAAAGTAGAGATTTCTCATGGCGTTTAATGTATTCTTCGATTTAAGATGAAATTATGCCCTCACATTCAAATGACGTCCTCTCGAAGAAATTTCTAGAACGCTTTAAATTAAACTTTTTTAAAATCTTGAATATAAGTGGTGAAAAGTTTTTATAAATCCGACGTGGTGCTTTGATTTGCTTATAGAGTTAAAGAATCCAGTAAATGTCAAAAAATTGTGCTGTAGCTGAAAAAATTATTGAACTAAGATGTTCTTTTATGTAAGTGAAAGTTTCGAAGTTTCTTTCGCCTGCTTCAAAAAAGAATCACAAAAGCCAGTGCCTTAAAAAAAAATTTTTGTTTCTAAAGATGCACATCTGAGCAACCAGACAAATCACTTCTGGGAGGTAAAGAGTTAAGGGTAAAGAGGAAAACGGTTTA